CTTTCATTTCACCTGCCTACTTCACACATTTGAAACCTTTAAGACATCGTTTTCAACCTTCAGCTTAAAGGTTGAAAAATCTTGTGTTTAAAAAAAATGAGACCAGCCAGGCGCCGTAGTTCACACCTGTAATCCCAGCACTTTGGGAGGCCGAGTCGGGTGGATCACTTGAGGTCAGGAGTTCAAGACCAGCCTGGCCAACATGGTGAAACCCTGTCTCTACTAAAAATACAAAAATTAGCCAGGTGAGGTGGCGGCGCACACCTGTGATCCCAGCTAATCCGGAGGCTGAGGCAGGAGAATTGCTTGAACCCAGGAGGGGGAGGTTGCAGTGACCGAGATCACACCACTGCACTCCAGCCTAGGTGACAGAGTGAGACTTTGTCTCAGAAATAAAATACAAAAAATTAGCCAGGCATGGTGGTGCATGCCTGTAGTCCCAGCTATTTGGGAGGCTGAGGCACTAGAATCACTTGAACCCAGGAGGCAGAAGTTGCCATGAGCCAAGATTGCCCCACTATACTCTAGCCTGGGCGACTGAGTGAGACTGTCTTAAAAAAAAAGAGACCTAAGTAGGTTAAGTGCCTGGTTTAGAGAATAGTCATGACTTCTGATCAAGTGTGGAGAATGAGTTCATTCTGAGGACAGATGAGGCCAAATTATGTAAGGCTTTGATACATTTTCAAGCACTGCCAAAAGGCCACATTTAGGAATGATAGTTTGGCAATACAACATACACTCAAGGCAGAGACAGGGTATAAACCCCTGCAGCAGGAATAAAGCTGACATACTGCTATTAAGATAAGTAATATAAGATAGTGAGTAGTTAAGGTGAAGTGCCATGAATGAGTTCTACAGTGTACAGACAGACTGACCTCCCCCAACCCCCACAGCCCTAGGGGCAGCTAGGTGGGGCCTGAACCCAAAAGATTTCCCTGGGCTGGTTACAACTGTGATGACAAACATAAGTCCGGTGTTGTACAAATAGCAGATTTCATCAGTTCTTAGACATGTATCTTTTCATATTTAACATCAGGAATTAGAGTGAACATTACATTAGATGGCTTCTTAGAGTGACAATTCATCAGGGCAGCAGCTGTGACTCAATTGTTTTGGCAGGTGCATGCATGAACTTCTTCACAGCTCTTCTACACTTCTACAGAGTTATGAGTATTGTTTGCTCTATACTTACTAGGTTTAATTGCCATTTATAGCACAATAGGGTGACTAGAGTCATTAATAACTTAATTGTACATTTTAAAAATAACTTAAGGAGTGTAATTGGATTGTTTGTAACTCAAAGGAGAAACGCTTGAGGGGATAGAAACTCCATTCTCCATGATGTGTTTATTTCACCCTGTATGCCTGTATCAAAGCATCTCATGTACCCCATCAATATATATACCTACTAACTACCCACAAAAATTTAAAAATTTAAAACGTTGACAGTAAAATGTCTTTTGAAAGACTATGCTGTGATTTGGCATAACAAAAGTTTACTCGGTATGGAAATAAGCATGAAAACAGAACAGCAGTTTGCAAACATGTAGTGGTGAGGCAAATATGGATTATTGGAGGACTAGTCACAATTCCATGTATTCTTGCAAAGCAACCAAGTAATTTACAATTCCTTAAAAAGGTGGGTAGCTTTGAGTAGATAAGCTACTCAAATTGCTTACTTCAGTTTAAGGTTGAAGAAACCACCACATCCCTCAGAATAGAACAAAATGTGTAAGAATAAGAGAACAGTTTCTGAGTTACAAGAACTCTTGTTAAGGCATCGCACATTAATATTGTCAAAAACTTCCTGCTGTCTTTGAATAGAAGCTATTAAATTTCCAAAGGTGTATGATTCAGCAGTTGCTGCAAAATGTAACTATATGCTTAGTCAAGTAGGAAAGGGCAATAAACCTTTGTATTCTTTGACAACCATCAAGATTATACCGTCAATGCTAAAGACACCAAAAGTGCATGGATTTATGTAAATAAGTGGCGTGACACTATGACACTGTGCATAGGCATGCCACTATATTTAATTGAAAACTGTGAAATATTTAATAAAATCTCCTGTGATGATACTGTGCCTACTCGCAGGAAGGGCATGTGCAATGTTTTCGTTGATGATCTATAAAGTTGCCGTGGGCACTGAATTAGCAAATACTAAATCATTGCTTCTAGGGGAAATACAGATTAGGTTCCTGTGAGTGTGTGGTCACAGTATTTTCATTAGCTGATCAACATATAACCTTCTTTTATGTGCATTTCTGTTTAAAAACACCTTATTTAATATATATTGTTGATTCATTAGCATTGAACTGCAGCCAACTGCCCTGTAACTGAAAACCTGAACAAACCTTATCTAATACGAGTATTTTCTCTGTAAGGTATGTGAAAACCTTCTTGGCTTTGGAATCACTAAAAAGCAGTTGAGCAGTATGCTTGAGGGCCATTTTAAACAGTGAATTCACTGACAAAAAGCTCAAAAGTGGGAAAACTAGCATTAAATAGACCATCAAGAGGACACTTGTTTCCAGTATAAGAGCTGAAAGAAGGCAGAGTATCACCATGCTCAAGCTTGGCGGGGAACTAAAATTTTTTGCCACCCTGTGAATATTTTATTTTATTTTAGCATGTAGGCAGGTTTAAAATGCAAAACCCATAAATAACAAAGATGGACAGAACTTTGTAAAACTTCGAAGTCATATGTGGGTAAAGGGAAGATTAAAAAATTGGAACCAATGGTGCCAAATCTTGATCTCCGTCTCAGACTTTTTCAGTCATAACCTGCATTTCCTATTCCCCAAGTGTTTGTATGCACATCTGAGACATGCTGCCCTCAATACCATGATAGGTACATCTGACCAGACAGTGAAAGTTAAACTGTATAAGACATATGAACCAGATGGTGGAAGTTAAATTGTACAGTTTAACTCTTCAAATTAGAGACCTACATTTATAAAGTTTTTTGGAGGGGGATCTAAAGGTCTGGGGTGTGCTAGGACAACCTCTATAAGGTGAAATACAATTTATTGCATCTTACAGTTCCTATTAATAGCAAAGTGCAGGGCACCTTGTGGATCTTTGGCTTTTGGAGATAGACTATGTACTTGGGAATACAGATTCAAAACATTTATTGGGTGGTATGGAAAGCTGTCAATTTGAGTGGATTCCTGGCAAGTGAGTGCTCTGCAGCAAGTTCCTGCTGGGATGCAAATTGTCTTGCTGTCTGTCCTTGTGTCTCAGCAGATCCAATGCTGCTAGAGTCCCTGATAGATAAAGATACTGTGTGAGGCCGGGCGCAGTGGCTCATGCCTATAATCCCAGCACTTTGGGAGGTAAGGCTGGTGGATCACAAGGTCAAGAGATCGAGACCATCCTGGTCAACAAGGTGAAACCCCGTCTTTACTAAAAATACAAAAATTAGCTGGGCATGGTGGTGCGCGCCTGTAGTCCTAGCTACTTGGGAGGCTGAGGCAGGAGAATTTCTTGAACCCAGAAGGTGGAGGTTGCCGTGAGCTGAGATTAACAACAGCAAAACTCCTTCTCAAAAAAAAAAAAGATACTGTGTGAAGTCTCAAGCAATCCTAACAGGTGAATCACAGTGCAGAACCCCTCAGGGATCTGGAGCAAGGCCTCCTTTCATAGTAAGTAATTTGAAAAGCAGCCACTGGCATGCACTGTGCCCAGCAGAGACTAAGAGTCTGCCCATGTAACTAGTGAGAACGCAACTAAGCCCATCACAAGCTGGACACTGCCAGTTTTGCCAAGCCAAAGTGTTAGGTGATCATAGCAGTGATCCATTAGACAGATAACAACGAAGAGGAGTTAGGGTAATGAAATGCCTCTGAGGTCAAAGAACAGTGGCCAGAAGAACATGGGTGGGAGAGTTGGAAGCTTCCCAAGAAAGGGAAGCTCAGCATAATAATATTATCTTTTTCTGACTCCAGAACTGCTCTCTCCCTGAATTTCCTCTATTAGGTGCAGAATAGTAATATGCACTCTTCCCCAGATCAAATTTATGGTGTCATCATTGATAACATCTGCGCATCAAAGAGATCATCCCTTAAAGCAGTATCTCTTTAATCTGTGCCTTTCTCCATGGCTACTGTCTTAATTTTTTCAGCATTTTTTTCTTACATGTTTTCCACATTATTGACAAGGGGTGTTTCTGCATATCTGATCATCCCATTTATTCTTCAAATGTTTACTGAGCATTTTCTGTGTATCAGACACTGGGTTAGGCCCTGGATAAATAATGTGAAGAAGAAAAAAGAGACACTGCTGCTGGCCTCCTGGAATTTACAGTTTGGTGAAAAAGACACACAACAAATCCTCCTGAAGATCATTCAGGGTTCCTTGCTGTTTCAGGAAGCCCAGATGTCTTGACTGGACTGCCTCTGCTTACCTCTCCAGCATCACCTCTAATCAGCGCCCTTTACTCTACAGCTACAATGCATTTTCCCCACTTCACAGCACTCTCCTCTCTGCCTGGGTAAAGTCTACCAACTTTTAAGGGTTCAGTCCAGGAATCCACTTTCTCAGGAACACTTCCACACCTCATGCCATCACTACCATGTAGGTACCATGCTTTTTATCCTGATTCTCTGTTGTCATGTCCACTGCTAATACTCAACAGTGAACTCAACTTTGTGTCCGCAACACTTAGTGCAGTGATTTATAGTACTCGACATTTTTTGTCAAATGGAATCGGATATATAGAAATACCACCTGCCTCCCGCAAGAGCAGACAAGGCCAGCCCATCACTCCTGCACCCCGACAAAGGAACAACAGCTGCACGGTGTCCACCGGCCTTGCTGCCTGGCAAAGGGTAGCCACCTGGCGTCTGTCTCAGAATAGGACTCCGCGGCGCGCCCCCTAGCGCCGTCGGTTGACATTGCAAGAATGCGAGGGGGCCGGTGAGCACGCGGTCCCAGACCAGCGCCCAGCGCATGCGTAGAACGTGAGCGCTCGGCACGGCCCTGCTCGGAAGAGTCCAAGCGTGAGGGGAGAGGACTGTGGATTTAGATACTCTTTTCCCCCCGAGATAGGAATTTGGCCCTTAGTTTTTTCTTACTCAACAGCATCTTAATTTAAAATATGACACTTGACCTACGGCCCTGCGGGGAGCGGTTAATAGGTTGAGAGGTCCGTCAAACTCTTTTTGATGCTTAGGCGCCCTCCTCGGGGCGGTGGGTTGGGCGGGCCCAGGTCAAGGCGCGCGTGGGCGGAAGCTGCGGCGGCGGCGGAGAAGGCGGCGGCTGTCAGAGCTGTAGGGGCCGTACACCGCGGACATGGAGGGACAGCGCTGGCTGCCGCTGGAGGCCAATCCCGAGGTGGGCGCGCTTCGGGATAGCCCTGGGACCCTGGGCAGGCGCAGAGGGAGCCGGGTTGCTGCCGTGAGTCCGTGGTAGTTTGTCTCTAAAACATGTTCTCTCTTTCGTTTTCAGGTCACCAACCAGGTGAGTGAGGTGTCTGTCGCTCGGGACCTCGGAGTCCTTTCTGTCTGCTCGGTCTGCTCCACCTCCACGCTTCCAACGATTCTGGGATTTAATTTCTTGAGGGCCCCTCTTGTTCGGCTTTACGCGGGTCCACCCCTTTCAGAAAGGGCCATCTCCCTGCCACCTGGCTCCCGGAGATGCTCCCAGCTGGGAGTCTCTCCTCTGGTTCCATTCCCCAGACACCACGTATCCTGGGGACTCCGGGTCTGAGGTTTGGAGAGACTTTTACCCTGGATTCCTATTCCTCTTCCTACTTCGTTTTACCTCCTGTTAGTACCAATTCCATAATTTTCCTCCTGGTGTACCTTCTGGATGACTAATTTGCCCACACTTCCTGACTCCAAGCTTTGTAAACTCGCCCACCCAGTCCTTGTAATTTCATCCACCGCCTGCACTATGAAATCATCTTCCAATCATCTCTTGCCCCACCAAGTCACTTTTCCTCCCCGCCACGCCCCCTTTATCTTTCAGTCTTTTAAAGCTGGACACTTAGTTGCTGTTATATCAAAGAAAGCTCACTTTAGTAGTTCCCACGCCATTCTTTGCCATCTACAGCAATTGAAGTTCCTTTTGGGTGTTGGTCGGAGGTCAGAGGTCGGAGGTCGGAGGTTGGGGGGGTTGGGAGGTTGGGAGGGGCGAGGGAACATCACCCAGTCATTCGAAAGAACAGTAAGTGCTACCAGGTATAAACTTTTGGTCTGCTCAGGTGTGCCTTATCTTACCCTGTTTATTTATTTATTTTTTTAAATCCTCAACAGCTCATTTACTTTTTACTGCTCTCCAAGTTTATCATACTCGCCTTATCTCAACCATCTTCCTTCTCATCAATGAGGAACAATTCACCCTGTTCTTAAAAAACTTGGTTTTTGGTTTTCAAAGCTTGTGGCAAATTCCCTGGACAGAGAGCATCCTTGTCTTGTTCTCTATCTTAGGGAGGAAACATTTGATCTTTCACCATTAAGTATGTTAGCTTTAGGTTTTTTGGTAGATGCTTTTCAAGTCAGGCTAAATTTCTGTTTCCCCCCTAGTTTGCTGAGAGTTTTTCTTGTGAATCAGTGTTGAATTTTCGCAAATGATTTTTCTGTATCTTTTGAGAGATGATCATTTAAGGAAGAAATAATGCCAATTCTACATAAACATAAAAGATGGAAGATGGCCGGGCACGGCTGTAATCTCAGCACTTTGGAAGGCCAAGGCAGTCGGATCATCTCAGAAGTTCGAGACCAGCCTGGCCAGTGAAACCCCGTCTCTATTAAAAATACAAAAATTACCCGGGCGTGGTGCCGCGCTCCTGTAATCCCAGCTACTTGGGAGGCTGAGGCGGGAGAATTGCTTGAACCCGGGAGGGAGAGGTTGCAGTGAGCTGAGATTGCACAGCCTGGGTGACAGAGCAAGACTCTGTCTCAAAAAAAAAAAAAAAAAAGAGGGAAAACACTTCCAAACTCATGCTAGCATTATCCTGACACCAAACTCGACAATTCATAATAAGAAAAACTGCAGTCTGGGTGTGGTGGTACGTGCCTGTGATCCCAGCTACTCGAGAGGCTGAGGCAGGAGAATTGCTTGAACCCTGGAGGCAGAGGTTGCAGTGAGCAGAGATTGCGCCATTGCACTTTATCCTGGGCAACAAGGCGAGACTCCGTCTCAAAAACAAAAAAGAAAAACTGCAGATCACTATCCTTTATGAACGCGGATGTAAGAAATCCTCTACAAACTATTAGCAAATAAAATGCAGCAATAAATATATAAAAAGAGTAACATATGACCAAAAGCAGTTTATCCTGGTCTTACAAAGTGGGTTCACCATTACAAACTCAATGTAATTAGCCATGTCAGTAGACCAAAAAATAAAACTCAAACTATAAGCTTGTGTAAGTGGGAACCTACGTTCTGTGATTCAGCTGTTAGTGGACCTTGTCCCTAGGGTGTCTTGAAAAATTATCAAACACATTAGTATTTTGGGGGCACCTTTTTTCATACCAGTAATCTGAACAGGAGCTGGTGACACTTTGGTGATTAATAAGAAAAAGACCATGGTGCTTTGATAGAGACCATCAGGGAAGATTTAATAAGTGGAATAGTGACAGAAGACCTTTCTGAGATGATATAAACAGAGAATGTTGTTTAACAGGTGATTGCATGCTTTAACATGATTTAGCTGGTTAATTTACTTTTTAAAGAAATAATGTGCTTTTAGTGGGAGTATAGGCAAGTATGTAAGAAGTGGTTAGTTTTAACTAAAAGATTTGTGGTTTCTTTATTCTCTATGTTTTAGCGGCAGAACCAAGACTAGAAAATGAATAGAAATTTATTTAACTGACTTAGAATTTAGAGAATAACCAAACTCTTAACAGCAATATCCATCCACCCTCTTATTTCCTCAACCTAATGGAATGGTAGGATCTTGAACTCACTCTGTTACCATCTGGTAATTGCATGTGTTGTTATAATCAGTGTGAGCAAATACTGCTTTAGGCTCTGATGATGCCTAGTGTTGTGTAAGAATGGCCATCACATGTGTACTATATGCAGATGAGTATTGTTAGACATTAGCTGGTAACCATGTGTCTCAGCAGATGTGGTAGACAGTGATTTCTCTTGATGGTTGGTATGCTGTCAGCCCCTTTTAAGGATGCTGTGTCATGCTACAGGTGGGACTTAATCAGAATAAAATGAGTTAAGTGATCAAAATTATTTAAACATTTTAAGCTCTATTTTATTTACCTATGCATATGAAGGGGTAAATGCAGCTTGCAACTGATAGAAAGTTACAGATAATTGAACATCAAGAATTATGATGTTTTTTAAAAGTATAGAATGTGGTCTAGGTAAATCATTATTATTTATGACTATACTAAATCTTCATTGTGATTATTTTTGTGATTTGAGTACAGTACAACCATGTTATATGTACTTTACACATGGTTGTGTTTTAGAACTAATGATTTTTTTATATGGATCTCTCTCCCCCAAGGATTATTCCTACTTGTGATTTTATTGAGGAGACAAAATATTTTCTAGCATAATATCAAAAGGGAAATAAATTTACTACAGCATAACTATTCTATTTAGCCTCTATGCTTAGAGTTAGAAAAAGAAATACAGGTCATCTGCTGGCTTATTGCCATAAATACAAAAAATAAATCATATAAATTCTCATAAAAAGATTTCTCTAATTGGTAGATACCATTTTAGGAAAAAAAAAAACCTTTGTTATCCTGTCCTCCTTGAGCTGCTGCCTTATCTGTTTTCCTCCTTTGTAAACTTTCACCAAAGAATTGTTCATATCTGCTGCCACTGCTGTTTCATCTCGCATTCTTTTCTGTATTTGTTCCTATGTCGCTTGCCTCTTTGTCTACCATTTCATAGTAACTACTTTTGTCAGGTTTGCTAATGATTGTCAGTTTGCCAGATCCAGTGGTCACTTTTCTGTCGCCACATTTCTTGGCCTTTCAGCAGCATTTGGTAGAATAGCCCACTCTATCCTTATGGAAACATCTTTTCTTGGTTTCTGTGATAATTCTGATTGTCCTCTATTTTCCTAATTGCTTCCAAGAGTCTCTTGCTAGATCATCTCCCTTCCAACTTTTAAGGAAGCTCCTCAGCTGCTTCATCCTAGATGTGTTTTCTTGCCCTAATAATGTTTTCTATTGTATAGCTCTAATACCATCTGTTGTCACATAGATGACCCCGTGTCCCTCTAAACCCTTACATTGCCACTGGATTGGAAATCTGTATATTCAGCTCTCTGGTGTCTCCATCTGGATGTCTTATAGTTACCTTAAACTTAATATGGCCAAAAAAGAAATATGGATTTTCATCTTCCCGTCTCTGCTCGAAACCCATTTCTTCCCCAGTCTTCCAAGGGCATAGCCATCCATCCAGTGTTCAAGGTGATGAGTTGATGCCATTGAGTCTTTTTTCAGATTGCCATTCTGGAGAGGCCATAGTGTCTTGATTTTTGGACTGTAATCTTTGCTTTGCTGTCTACCAGCTTTGAGACCATGGGCAGTTATCTAGCCTATTTATGCTTTAGTTTCTTAATTTCTTTCTTTCTTTTTTTAAAGACAGGGTCTTGTACTATCTCCCAGGCAGGCTGGAGTACAGTGGCACAATCATAGCTCACTATAACCTTGGAATTCCTGGGCTCAAGCAATCCTCCTACCTCAGCCTCCCAAATAGGCAGGACTATAACTTGCACCACCACACCCAGCTACTTTTTGCGTTTTTTTTTTTTTTATGTAGAGACAAGATGGTTTTACTCTGTTTCCCAGGCTGGTCTCAAATGCCTGGCCTCAACAATTAGTTCCTTCATTTCTTATAGTCTCTTCTAATCTTGTAAGATCACTGTAAGGATCAAAGAAATTACTACATGGAAAATATGTAGAACAATGTCTTGAACAAAGCATGTTCTCCCTGAATGTCAAGTATTTTTAATATTCTGTTTCTCAGTCCTCAGATCTAATTGATCTACACCTCTTATGGACTCTTCTTGCAAAGCTATTCCAAATATGGCTAATTCTATTTCAGCTGTCACAGTGCAAGCCAGCATCATCCTTAGCTTTGACAACTGTAGTAGCCTCCTAATTAGTTCTTCTGCTTCTCCTTTTGCCTCCTTAAAATCTAATTTCCATATACACCCAAAGTGGCCTTAAAAAATGTGAATCGCATCTTATGACTTCCTGCTTATAATACTCTACTGGTCTTCCAATGCTTGTCCTTAGAATAGATATACTTCAAACTTCCTTTCTGTTTTTTTAAACTTTTAGCTTCAGGGGAACATGTGCAGATTTATTATATAGGTAAACTTGTGTCACAGGGATTTGTTGTACAGATTATTTTGTCACCCAGGTGCTAAACCTAGTACCTAATAGTTATTTATTCTGATCCTCTCCCCA